AAAAATATAGTCGAGTATAAAAGATTGAGTTCCTATTATGTAGAAATAAACAACATTGACAAGAGTACATATTAGTTATTAACCATTTTGCGTGTTGTGTTTGTTGTGTTGTATGTTTTACATATCCTAATTCCCAATTTGAATATATTACATTGTTCTTAGAAATAATTGAAGCCAGAGAAGAATCTTTTATTAGCATAGGAAATTAGATTTTCCATAATTTATTCTATCCAAGTTGCAAGAATTGGGTACTCCAAATCTATCTTTCCTTGGTAACATGTAAATTTCCTAATAGGTCAAAATATTGCTATATGTATGATACGTTTTATAAACTATTTTTTGTAATTTATTTAATTTTTTGGTAATTATTTTTGCTACAGGAAAATAAATGAGAGAAATGTGCCAAAAGCTACAATCAGTCGATATAGTTCTGATGACACTTTAGACAGGTAAGGTGCTTTTGAACCATGTAAGTGGAATGCATAACATACTAAATTCCTTTTCTCATAAAGTTATGAAATATTTAAAAGTTTATCAAAATAAGGTTTGAACCATTGGTATTTTATTCCAAGGGATGGAGGGCTCTAAGAATTGAATTACCTTCTTCAAATCTCACTAAATCTTGACAAGATGCATTTCTAAAATTTTGCTAATAGTAGATTGATATGAAAAATTCTTAGAGACACTGATCTGAGTACAGCTAGGGTGGGTACTACACGGAATCCGTTAGTTCAATTTAAAATGGAGAATATAGTTTTTTTGTGTGTGCATATGTGTAATCCTTGTTCCAACATTTGGTTCTTCCACAAGGATGGTAGGAAAACATCAGTCTGTGCAACTGCTTTATGGAGAGACAATAAATTTTAATAGTACAATAGTTTCAACCTACTCCAGGACAGAGATATTAGATCTTTACTTTTACTTTAGAAAGTGAAAATACTTTTTCAGCCCTGGAGTCCCCATAGGGTGGATAGAATGAGTCCAATGTGTGTGCCTGTTAGATCCTTCTTACATGGAGGGAAAGGGCTCATGTCTACAGGGAAAATAGAGCAACTTTTATTCAGGTTGAAGTATAAACGCCACAAGTCACATTTTTGTTTTTGTTTTTGTTTTTTGTTTGTTTGTTTTTTGAGACAGAGTCTCACTCTCTCTCCAGGCTGGAGTGCAGTGGTGTGATCACTGCTCACTGCAACCTCCACCTTCCGGGTTCAAGTGATTCTCCTGTCTCAGCCTCCGGAGTAGCTGGGACTACAAGTATGCGCCACCACACCCAGCTAGTTTTTGTATTTTTAGTAGAGACGGGGTTTCATCATGTTGGCCAGGATGGTCTCAATCTCTTGACCTAGTGATTCGCTAGCTGTGGTCTCCCAACACAAATCACATTTTTAGTTTAGATTTGGTAGAGATGCTTAGTAAGCATAAGTAAAGGACAAAGTTCGCATCTTTAATAGGAGTCTAGACACCATGAATACCCAAAGCCAGTGCTACTTGAGTTTACTCCCTGCAGCTAAAGATGTGCTGCAATTGTAGGCAAAAATGGCACCTACTGGGTTTTAAGCAAATATGTGTTAACTTGCAGCATCCAATAGACTCTAAACTCAGACTATGCCAGTGTTGATTAATACAGCAAATGTATATACCTTCTGCACTATTCCTAGGCTTTCATGTCAGTCATCCTAGTAGAGGACAGTCAAGGCTGGGATCCTAAAGGGTTGGTCTTTCTCTTTTAAAAATTATCATCCTTGTCAAAAATGAGTTTGTAGTATATATGCAAGATCTCATCTCTACAGCGGGGCATAGAGAAGAGGTAGATAAAATACTTCTGTCCATTCATCCTGATCTTGCAGATGGTTAATTGCAGAAGGAAACCCCATTTCTAGGAATGAATTTTAAAGTGAGATAATTGAATCTCAAGTAAAGGGGAAGACCTAAGCTTTTGTAGGCCGTGTGTCTGAACATTTATATTAGGCCAGCCGAGATACAGCCTAGGAATGTTGGAAATAGACTAGACCTCGCAGGCAATGTAGTTAGGTCATTCTCAGCCTCAGTGATAAATCAGAACCCCTGAGGGGACTCTTAAACTTTATTTGTGCCTTAGTCCTACTACCTCTCACTCCCCTAAATCTGATTTTGTTAGCCAGAGGTGGAACTCAAGCATTTTTTTCAATCTTATAAGGCAATTCTTATGTGCAGCTGAGATTTAGAACCACCAATATAGCCCAAGCCCTTCATTTTATACCCTAGAAACACGCCCAGAGATTACATGATTTATTTACACAATTTAGTGATATGCTTGGGAACAGTATCCTGGCAGCTCATTCCCAAGGCACTAAATGTGGAAATGGACTTGAGGAAGGGAACACAGGGATCAGTAAAGAAAGGCAAGTCCTGTTAGCAGGAGCTGAACTTCTGTAATACAGAACACTCCAAAATCTAAGGTGTGACATAATTTTAGGAGGAAGATGATCAAATATATCTGGTATGTGTGCATTTGCATTTTAATAACGATACACTTGTTTCGATGAATATGAGAAAAGTACTGAGTTTACATTTGAAAAGTTCACTTTAAAATATGCTTATGTGGGTAAAAGACGAGGTGCGCAAAAGAAACGTAAATGTGTATATAGCATGCAAAGATGGTGGGTTATAACTAATTTGTAAAACCTAGGTTAGGAGGCCCCCTAGTGCTCTGTTGTGAAAGTATAACTTTTCCTTTGGCTCTTCTGATCATGTTGCTAATTACATTGTTTGGTATTTCAAGTCTCCAAGACCGATTTTTATTAAAACCACTTATTTTATATCACAAGTTGACAGAAAATTTAATTTCCAGGATAAATGCAAAATTAATCTCCCCCAGCAATAAGAAATCAACATATGTATTGGAATGGTTGTTTAGAGTTCTATTACCATTGATAGATTTTTTCCCCTGGGTGGCATGAAAGAGCTTGTGAGAGGTGAAGAACAAAGACTAAAGGAAGGCATGTTAACCTAATATATGAGTTTGGGGAACAATCATACTACAGAATCAGATATATGACATTGGATCCCAGTGAACAACTTGGGAGATAGAGTACTTTCTACTTGTGTGGCCAAGAGAAAACCACACAAATGACTCTGAGACTCCATTTCTTTCACCTATAAAATGAAAATCATTACACTTACCTTGTAGGGATGTTCTGGAGAGTAGAGAAAAGAATATCAAATGACCAGCAAAAGCAGTAGGTAAGAGACAAGGAAAGAAGAAACAGAGGCTGAAGTTATGAGACCCCACCATTGGTATAGAATGATAAACTTCCTTATTTGTGCTTTCTGACACAAAAAGCAAATAAACACACCTTTTCTAGATCTATGAGATTAGAATGATTAAAATTTCTAATGACAATTTAGACTTATTACATGTATTAGTCAAAGTGAACTAATTTGTCAAGGTAGAGTAACTTTTTAACAAGTCCCCCTCCTCTTCTAGATGGTTTAACACACTGTAAGGTATTGCTTGACTCATCAGAGCCCAATGTAATTTGCTGGAGTCCATGAAGTGACTCAAGGACCTAAGTTCTTTCTGTATTTGAATGCTGCCATCTTTAACCCATGCATACCAAAGCCATAGTAGAAGAGGGGAGAAAGAACATGGAAGATCACTAGGAGGTTTTACAATGGGTTCGGAAGTGGCAGATAACACGTCTGCCCACACTCTTTAGTCCAGAGCTCAATCACATGGTCCCAACTTAATGGCAACGAAAGTTAGGAAATGTGGTCTCCCTGATTGCTCAGAAAGAAAAGAAAATATGTTTGGCAAACACATAATATTGTTTATGCCACAAACCATTAAAAAAAATTTAAGTATTTTGTTGATGCCTTTCACTGACATAGGAAGTAGTCATTGACAAGATATATCATTAGACAATAATGTAAATGAAAATAGTTAATGAGTTAAATGCTCAATGAGTCAGAAAGACAGACAGGCAAAAGGCATAACACTTTTAATATTTCAGGTCGGGTGCAGTGGCTCATGCCTGTAATCTCAGCACTTTGGGAGGGGGAGGCAGGTAGGTCACCTGAGGTCAGGAGTTCGAGACCAGTATGGCCAACATGGTGAAACCTTGTCTCTACTAAAACTATAAAAATTAGCTGGGAATCAGGGCACATGCCTGTAGTTCCAGCTACTCAGGAGGCTGAGGCAAGAGAATAGCGTGAACCCTGTGGGTGGAGGTTGCAGTGAGCTGAAATCATGCTGCTGCACTCCAGCCTGGGCAACAGAGCAAGACTCCAGCTCACCAAAACAAAACAAAACAAAATAAAACAAAATAAAATAAAATTTCAAACTATATTAAAACAACCTTATAAGTAGATTTTGTCATAAGTAGTATCCTTGTATTTTAAAATTTTCTAAAATATAACACTTGAACAATGGTTCTCTTTACTAGAGAAAGGCTATGTTGTTAAGTTATTCTAGCATGAAAAAGGTCTGAAAGGTGTTTGATAACTTAAATGTTTATCCAGACTTTTGTTTTGTTTCTTTATAAAGGATCTCAGACAGAAAGGACGCTGCTAAAACATATAAGGCCAATACCTTGGATAACCAACTAACCAATAGGTACCAGTATTTACTAACTATGGGAAAGGCTCAAGTATAATATTTTTCTAAGTGTTACCTATGTACTTGCAAGTCTTCAAACCTACGTGATATCTTTCTGTAAATTCTTAGTCTCGATATTTTTATTGCAGAAATTCAGGAGAGAAAATCATTACTTCTGTACATGGCTAGAATGAAACTTTGTTGTTTAGCTTAAAAACCAAGAGCACTTGTAGCTCCAAATCACCATTCTTACCACATTTATGTTTCTGTTTAAGTTGTCCTGGTGGCAAAATTATGAAATACGTACAAATGCAAATTTTACATTATTATTGTCAAGGAAAATTACTGAAACCAACAAATAAAAACACTGGGCTTAAAAGATGCTGAATTTTCAGAAGAAAAAAATTTTCTTTGGAATCTAGTACAAGAAACAAAATCATGAAATCATCTCATTAAATTTATTCAAATATGATGCTTTCTATTTATCTCAACCAATGTCTAACTTTTAATAACTCTATATTCAAGAATAATTCCAAGTAGATGCAAATATTCATTCTTCATTGTTAAAACTTTGCTTTCTTTCTCTCTCACCAGGAGCATGTCCACGTTCAGATCATCGGGAGTAACAAAGTTGTATGTATTCTTTCTAATTGTAGTATATTTCTTTGTATGTGTTCAAGAAAAACCAGGGTATACCACCCGTAGGCCAATTTTACTGGAACACAGCCATGCCCCTATTGTCCTGGCAGAGTTGAGTAGCAGAAGACAGATGCCAAAATGGTCTGCAAAGGTTCCATTGTGACTCCCTGGACTTTTGCAGAAAAAAGGTTTGCCAATCATTACTCTAACCAAACACCAAAGCTTAGGTCATCCTTTCTTTCTTCTTCTTTATTAAAATCTAGACTCCTTATATTTTCCCCCACAGGAATTTTCTTCCCTCTACTCCCACAATAATTAGCCCTTCCTTCACACCTCACTTCCTTCCCCACCTACCTTTCACATTTACACTTCCTCCTTCAGAGAAAATTGAATTGGGAAATCATAGGGTGAGCTAAAAATCGGTTTAAATGAAATACATTTTCTCTGGAGTGTACTACTGGTGGTTATAAGCAGCCCAAATCAGACAGATTTATAAACTTATTTTGTTTTTGAATTCCTATTTATGTATAAAGTAATTTATACACTGGATCATACCTCTCAGAGCTTGAAATGGGCCTGGGTCACTTCCATTTTTTGAGGATCTGCATATATGAATAAATGCTAGATGGAGACTTAAGATTGCATGATTTAAAATGTTTTCCTAAGCAATAATGCTTCTAATGCAAAAAACATAATTAGTTAGTCACAATATAATCAAAGAAATGTGAATCTGTAGCACATCAGAATGGATTGGTCAGAATTTCCGACAGTTAATGTCATTTTATGAATCACTTCTTTATCCTATTCCTTTAGGTTTAGCTAGTTGTATGAAAACCTGACAACTTCTAAACTAAGGAAGTCAACTTAGGAAGAAGATCTTTGGCTGTTTTTCCATCCCCAAGTGAAACATTTTGTGATGAACAGAGAGCAGGCAGGAATATGAGTAGATGTTAAGACTTTTCAAAGGTGGGGTGAAATGGAAATGTTTAAGAGTGTGATTAATTGTTGTTCTTGTCATTAAACAGGCAACCTGGTGGTTCATTGAATGCAAACACTTCCAACACCATAGCATCCACTTCTGCTACTACTCCTGTAAAGAAAAAAAGGTACAATGAGTTCATTGTGTCTACCTCTTGCTGATCCACTATGAAAGACTGTTCTTTAATTTCTGAACCAAGTCATCCACCAAACTCCCAGGCAGCATTAGAAAGCTTCCTCCTCTTTTTCCCAGGGATCCAGCTTCTACATTCTGCTGTTCCCAAACTTCAGCTCTTTCCCCCAACAATCTCTTTCTCAAATATAGAGTCTTATTTTCAGTTCCGTTAGGAGCTTGAATTTCTACGAAATGTTTTAGATGATAGGGCTTACATGTTAAATGGCAGACTACTTGAGGTATCATGTTTCACGGAGCCCTGCTGCTGGGAATGCCTTAACCTTAAATAATGATGGATGTAGGGCCACATGTTTCCATGCTTCTGAAACCAGCCTGTATCTGGAGCCGATGCCTCTGCTCTGTGGATTAGGCTGACCTTGCTTCCAAACACAGAGTCAAAGACCCTTTCTGGAGACATCCATCTGTATTTGTGTGATTCTTGCCTCCTCCTCTGACCTCCCCTGCATGGTCTACCACATTCTGCTGGTGCTGAGTCCTATGCCATTAGCAGGCACAGAGAAGTAGTTGGACCAGTGGTGACCAAATAATCTTCATGACACAGAACATGATGGTGGAAGAGATATTTGCCATGTTGAAAAAACCCCAGGGCTATGAATTGTGATGCAAATGGAAAACAAGCATTTATAAATGTCATTGCTTTTAAATTTTCTCAATTTCCCTGTCTGCACCTGGGTCCATGCTCCATATAGGGTAGGTGCTCAATGTTTGTTGATGGACTGGCCATGACTGATTCTATTTTTTCCTTCAATAAGGTTTTGTTGTAGCTGCAAAGTCTCAGAAAATGTGGCTCATCTTTCCCTGGAACCTACATTTCACGACCCTTGACTCTTTGCTGGTGAAAACAGATTCCTAAGTTTGAAAGAGAAATTTTAGGTCACTTAGTTCAATCTCCTACCTAGTGTAAGAATCTTTCCTCTGACATTTGAGGCATAATTCAGGGCCACTGAAGCCAGCAATAAGACTCACTATTTTGGGACACATCTTCGACTTGCCTGTCTGGATAGCATCTATTCTTTACATTGAACTGGAATCTGCCTTGATTGACTCCTACCTTGTCTTAGTTCAGTTCTGTGGTGACTCAGAGAATAGACCCACTTAAAGAATTTAAAGCCCGATTTCCTGTATGCCTTTCCTTCTGTAGTGTGTATCATTCTCATCTGAATATCTTCAGTCTTCATCCATATCTTGGTCTTTCTGCTTAGCTATTATTACCAATTAAATTTATGTCCTAGTGATATCAGGACATCTTCCCAATTGAGGTTAGAACTGAAGTTTTCTATCACAGTTTTTAAAAAATTATATTTTGAGTAGAGTATGAGATTGTTATTTCTGTTATAAAATAGTTCAGACATACAGAAAAATAGGAAGAATAACATGATAAACATATATGAATTTGCTCTCTAGATTTAACAATTGTCATTATTTTCCAGGCTTGCTTTAGATTTCTTTTTAAAAGAAGTGTCCACATTACTCAGTGCCAAAGGAAATGAGAAAAGAAGTTTACTTGGAGGAACAGATAGCCTAGAATATAGGACAGTTACGTCCTACTTCATTTATGAAATAGTGTTCATTTTACTTCCAAGGCTTGGTATAATCTCACTGCCTTTTTAACTGTCAAATTATTTTCAGACACGTGGGTGTGATCGGCCTTTCAAGCACCATGTTTATTATCATGTCATTTCTTTACAGGCAGTCCTGGTTTCCACCGCCCCCTCCAGGTTACAATGCCTCTTCAAGCACAGAAGCCAGGAGACGGTAAGGGAAAGGTGTCGGGTATAATTACTGTGCTGTTGGATGGAAGAACATGTCAGACATTGACAACATATAATTGTGGATGCTTTGGGATAAATGGGAGGCAATCTTGGGAACTCTCAGCCCTGTGCAAGAGAGTGTCCAGTGGGAGTAAGGTCAGGGCTACAAGTACCCTGGCAGGACATCTGACAAACTGCTGGGAGTAAGTAGGTGGCTGTATTAGATTGCTAGGGTTGCTTACAGCAGAAGAAATGAATGCCACAAGCTGGGTGCTGCGAACTGCCATGAAGTGCCACTAGATGGCTTAATCAACAGGAATTTATTGCCTCATAGCTTCAGAGGCCAGAAGTCCAAAGTCAGGGGTTCAGCAGGGGTGGTTCCTTCTGAGGGCTGTGAGGGGGCCCCTAACTTCTGGTGGTTTCCTGGTAATCACGGACATTGCCCAGCGGGTACAAGCATTGCCCTGATTGCTGTCTTCATCTTCACATGACCTTCTCCCTGTGTGCTTGCCTGAGTCCAAATTTCCCTCTCTTATAAAGCAGGTAATCATATGTCTATCCTACTCCAGTATGACCTAATCCTAACTTAACTAATGATATCTGCAATCACCCTATTTCTAAGTAAGATCACATTCTGAGAGATTGTGGATTAGGACTTCAACATATGAATTTTGGGGGCAGAGGAGACATAGCTTAACCCTTAACAGTGACAGCAGCTAAGAATAGTGGCAGGCATCAGACAGGGGTTGCAGTGTGGGCTCCTGGTGCCCAGCTGCCTCCAGGCTGTGCAGAACCCAGAGAAGTGGATGACGATATGCGTGGCAAGTTGTTCCTAAATATTAAGTGACAAATGAGTGTTTTCCACTTTTATCTTTTTTTTGAGAGTAATAGTTAAAACTAAATGATAGATCAGGTGGAGGACACCTTATTCTACAATTTTCATGCTATGAATGCCAGCAACAATTCAATTTAATAAATAATAAACACTGCCATGTGCCAGATATTATTCTAGGATCTTGGGATATATCAGTGAACAAAACATGGAGCCTGCACTATGGTCTTTAAAGAAACATGCTCTCTAATCTATATCATCACTAACTCAGAAACAAAAACAGGCCTCCTATTTAGTTTACTTTTCAGGTAACCAAAGATGTTTTTATGTCTTAACTTCTGGAACATTTTCATGTTTCAGTGGGATCTGTTTTTCTAATTCTGACTGTTGGAAAAGAGAATATTATTAAACTATGTGCTTATTTAATATTATATTTGTTTATTTTCTAAAATTGTCATCTACCATGCAGAATTCTAACATCTGTTTCATTTCCAAGTAAGGGATATACTTAGAAATACATTTTTTTTTACGATAATTTCTGTGAGCTCTGTCAGGATGTAAAGAAACTCTAGTTGGTCAATAGACACAAAGAGCTTGAGTTGCTTTTATTTATACCTGCCATTACATTATCTGTCTATCTATCTATCTATCTATCTATTATCTATCTATCTATTATCTATATATCTATCTATCATCTATATCTGTCTGTCTGTCTACCTACCTATGACTAAATCAAATTACTGAACATGTTGAGGAGCCACAACTTGTAATCACATTCACCTACTGTTACAGTGTTTTATTTTAGAGCCTGCTCATCTACAGATGACTTCCAATTACATGGACTGCCATGTATGAATTACATTTGTAGTTGAAAATAGTCTTTCCCCTCAGGCTGCTATTAGATAATTCCGTATGGGTGATACCTTTGATATAAGGAGCTATGTAAGTGGGGAAATGTTAAGTAGGAGTTCTCCTAGTTATTATCTTTTTCTGAATGTTGTTAAGATCCATCCAATTTTGTCTTGATGAAGAAGAACTGGTACTTTTCTTAGATGTATTTACTACTTATTTTTAAAATAACTTCATATTTTTGTCCTCAACTCATCATTCCAATTATTAATTATTCCAATATCATTATAAAAAGCAACTGGTTATATAACGGTGTAAAAACATGGAAGGATTATTCATGAATTAACATCTCATGCTATCAATGCCTGTTGAGCTTGTGGATCTGTTTGCACAGAGCTGATGGGGCTTGGCTCTATGCCCTCCCTCACAATTTATGCATTGCTGGATATGATTTACATGGAAGATGAAATGAGTTACAATGCTCCTATTTCTGATTCTTGGCTCAGATCCATAGCTCTGGAACTAAGGGAAAGAGGAGATTACTAGGCTAGGTTGATCAATTTCTATATCCATTGCTTTTTTGGGGTCACAGATTATTAGTATAATGGCTAAATGAGAAGACTTCTCTTTGAGGATCGGAAATAATGTCATGCCAAGCCTTCAGGGAAAGGAGAGAATGAATAGTAACAACATAGCAATGCCTTTGATTTCTGAAGTGCTTTTTGGAAGAGCTCAAAGTGCAGCTTCTGTTTGTCACCTTTAATGCCAGTGCATTCCCAGGGCTGAAAAACAGCCTTTTTTTTAGTAAATGCTGAAAAATAGAAGCAATCATTAAATGATGAAAGGTAGTAGAGGCTTCAAAAAGATATCTTTCTTCCCAAAAGAGCTCAAAGAAAATGAAAATAGGTCAAAAACAGATAAAAATTGGGGACTATGATTGATAACACTAGCTAATGGCTCAAGGTTAAACATTTCCCTTTATCTTTCACTAATACAATGGTATTCATCTCTCCCCCTTGTCTCTTCCCTCCCATCTTCTCCAAAAGAATTTTGCCTTAGTACTGACACCCTCATGTTTTCTGTTCTTAATTTTGCAAACTTTTTCTTTTTTACCACCTTTCCTTTCCCTGAAGTGTCATTTTCTCCCATGTGTCTCATTCTGTGCAGCACACTTGAAAAGACCACCAAACTTCCCTGTCATCCAGGATGAGTCCTTTCCCTGGAATCTCCTCCCTTGACCTCTCCTGTTGAGAGGTCGATTTGTTCCTTTCTTAATTTATATACTATGGAAGAAATCAAGTTCAGATGAAAAACTTGCATTTCGTTGTGTTTTGATTAAAATCTATTACAAACGCAATGTAAACCATACTCAAAGGACCTTACCCTTCTTTTTTTAATCACCAGAAGAGCTCATAATATCGTACCTTTATTTAAATGTGTATGTATATCTATGCCTATGACTATGTTGGTCTAGTTTTATAATT